ACCTGCTCCTGCTGCCTCTCTGGGCTCCCTGGGGGTCCATCTCCACGGTGGCCAACACAGAGGTCGCCTCCGGCCAGGGTCGATTACAAGGTCAGTGAGGCCATACTCCGACCCACGTCTTCCTAGGCTCATGACCTTGGAACCTGGACATCAGGCCCGTCACCTGGTACCTATGCTGCTCCTGCCTCCAGCATGTTCCGATTCGAGATCAATCCCAGCTCCAACACTCACTAATGTATGAACATGGCCTGCCCTGGCCTCCGCAGGCCTCTTTCCTCATCTGCAAAGTGTGAGGAGAACCCCACCTGCCTCCCAGGGTCTCCTGAGGACTCAGTGTCATCTGACTGTCATCACTGATCTACCATCACCCCCCCAGGTGGAACCAGCACAAAGCTTCACACGTTCCTGTCCTCCCTTGAACCTCACACCCTTCTGTGCGGCCTGTACCACAGACCATCTCCCTCCATTTCCTCCACTTCCCAGAGGAGGAGACAGGCCCACAGTGAGGCAGTGAGTTGCTCAGGGGCCCACAGACGAGAGGCCACTCCCGCTCCCAGCCAGAGGCCATGTTCTCCTGCCTTCACCCCAGCCCCAGCCCCACCACTGACCAGAGTCCTGTCTTCTGGACTCTTAGGGTGTGTCCCACCTGCGTCGCGCCATGGATGGAGAGAGATGGGGTGTTTCAGGGGGCCTGGTGAAACAATGCCTGCCTGCCCCAGCCCCCCAGAAGTCTCTGAACCTAGACTGGGCCTGAGGCCACCCCAAAGGCCTCACCTCCCTAGGAACCCCTCAGGACGGTCCCCTGCACAGAACTCTGCCTTCATGCACTCAGAAAGGGGACCGCCAAGTGCCATGTCTGACTGACAGGGTAGAGGGTGACTAGGGCACTAGGTGGTGATATTTGCTTCCTCTTTTCTGTGGAAACTTTTAACATCTGGTTAGGAAGGATCCATTAAGAATCCACCAATTTCCCAGATACTTCTCATTCCTGCTGGGGCATATAACATTGCCAACAGAGAACTGGGTAAGAATCCAAATGGGATTGATCTAAATGGGGTGACCACCATTGAGGTAGAGTGGGGAGTCACAGAAAGCACACATATCTGTCCCAGGACCAGCACTTGACCCAAGGCTGGGCAGCCCACGTCCCCTTGCCCGTGGGATCTCACGGTGCCCATCACTGGGGCAGGCAGGGTGCCCTCCCCTGTGAGGTGCAGTGAAGACAGAAGGAGCAGTGGGGACCTGACTTCCTGGGGACAGACTAGGACAGAGGTCCTCCCCTCTCCTCCTCTCCTTCTTCAGATTTCCAGCCTCCACTTCCTGCTCACCCACTGGTCCTTGGTACACAGCTGTCGAAATTTTGGGGAGCCCATCCTGAGGGGAGGGGAGGAAGGAAGGGAAAACTTGGGAGATCTGAGGGCAAATCCCTTTTGTTTAAGAACCCAGAAGATTCAAATAGCTTGGATGAGGGTTTTCACTGGGTTCTTCTGAGCCCCGAGGTCTCCGTGGGACTGGGGAGGGGGCTCTCCTATTGTCACCTGGGGCTTCCATTCCTATATCTACTGAGCAGATTGTTTTGAACAACGCTGGTTTCAGTTGGACAGAGAGTTCCGTTGCTGCAAAGTGAACTCTTGAAAATCTCCAATTTGGCTCAAGCCAGGATTCAGCGTCAAAGGAAACTGACTCCTGAAGCAGAACCGCTGGCCTAAGGTCTCAGAAAGACTCAAGAGACCTGCCAACCAGGTCAATCCCTGTCCTCAGGGTCTGCTGTCTCCCAAGAGGTCTCAGCTGACTGAGGGGGCAGTGCCAGCGCTATGAGGGGTGTCTGGTCTACCCTGGTGGTGCTTGGATAGAGAGTGGCCTATCCACCTGGAAACCTTTCCCCATGCTTCTTCAGAAGGTGAATTGAGGGGCTCGGAAGGGCAGAGACAATGGCGTGCAGTGAGGAGAAGTTCTTGAGGACTTGGCACTCCTGGGGAAGGGAAGAGAGTGAGCTGTGAGGGGGAGCTGGAGCCCTGCTTCCTCTGGCTTCTGTCCTCTCAAGGACTTCTCCTGTCCCGAATGAGACAAATGCCCAGGCAACTTGTGGAGGTCACACCTGGGACGTGATGAGTAACACTAATAGGAAGGAGGATTTTAGCTCAACCCAAGGAAGGAGCCTAAGAAGGAAGTGAGCTTCCCGCCACTGGGAACAGGAGTCGGGGTCAGCATGCCCCTGGCAGGAGGGGCCTAGGGACTGCGCAGGGGACTCAGGGAGCTCAGGAAACTGAGGATGTGTTTGAAGTTTGTGGGAGTCCTTGGTTTTTGTCTATGTCCAATTAGGGCGCCCAGCACAGAATGACCCAGGACCCAATACTGGTAGTGAAGGGAAGTGGCATTTACTCCCAGCCCAGTCTCACTTCCCTCAAGCACCAGGACACTGCTCACACCTGCCCATCTCAAGGGGCATCTTCCACCCATTCTGAACACCCCTTGGATCCAACTCCCCATTCAGATGCACATTTCCCTGAGGCAGCTAAAACCAGTGGCTTTGTCTGTCTTCCATGTAGTCAAGTTCAGATCATATGCCTAATAAGTGCTGAGGCTGTTGAGGCCTCCTGGGCAGATGGGTGAGCGACCCAAGGACCTGGCAGCACTTTAGTGAGGTCCCCTCTCTCACCAAAGGCCCAGAATTTGCCCAACTTCCTCTCTGTGCTCCCGCATTCATCTGCACAGGCACCACGTGCAACAGGTGCTCTTAGTGTCCATCTCTACTGTCCACGTTGGGACAGTGAAGGCTCAGGGGTTAAGAAAGCTGCCCAGGTCACACAGTGAGTAAGTGGGAGAACTGCAACTTGGAGGCATATCATCGGATTCCAGATCAGGGAATGGCATGGCTGAGGCAGTTGATGGCACAGGGAAGGCCTGCCCCACCCACCCTGAGAGACCCTCTGCTCACTGAATCCATCAGAGTCAACTGCTCTGCCTCTTCTCCTTGGGGAGGAAACTCCAAGATCAGACATCTCCTCCCTCATCAGGTTTTTGGTGATCACAGCCCAGGGGCAGTAGGGCTCTGGGGCTGGATCCGGCTCTGTTATTTCTGCAGCTAGAGACGGAAGTGATGCTGGAGCCAATGGTTCAGTTGACTCCAGCTCAGGAGCTGGCACTGGTTGAGGTTGGTGCTTGCTCTGGCCATGGAGGGGCTGATGGGGGTGATGCTGGCTCCATATGTAGCACAGGAGGTGGAACTAGAGCTCGAGCTGGCTCTAACCCCTGAGCTGGCTCATGCTCTGGCTCTGGAGCTGGCTGGACCTGTGGAGCTAGCACTGGCACAGGATAAAGGGGAAGTTTCACCAATATAGCTGACTTTCCCTGTGACTTTCCAAAGACAGGAAAGACTTCACTGCCTTTAAGGGTACTCCAGCCCATGAACCCCAGTGCAGATAAGTTTTCCCAGACTGCAGTCCCCTCACCTTCCAGCTCTGCCTCAGTGGGCTCTAGATGCTCCAACTGGACCTGGAGAAGGTGGGAATGGCCCTCCAGGTATGAGCCAGGCAAGCTGACACGCACATAGGCCAGCTTCAACTTGAAACAGGGAAAGTACAGGGGTTCCCAGAAATCCTGCATCTGGTCCAGCCAGGTTCCCACCATAGAAAAGACGGCACTGGAGGGAGGCAGTTGGGCAGCAGAGTCAGAGGCCTGGCCTTTCCTTCCACACTGCTCTCCCACGGCACCCTTGTTTGGGTATGGGGCCCTATGCCTGCCCCTTCCCCTGCAGAGGAGAGCTCCAGCCCCAGCCCCAACCCCAGTGTGCCTGTCCTGGCAGTGGCAGGGCTGCTCATCCAGCAGGTAGAACAAAGAGTCTCTGTGTCTCTCCTTCCCACTGACACTCTTCTCCCAAAGGGCCTGGACACAGCCCACTCCAACCCTCCAGGAGCTTGGGCAACTGCTGAGAATTGAGGCAGGTTTGTGAGCAGGTTGCTCACACACCTCCTGTTCTGGGCCACTGGTGATGGTGGTCAGAAGGGGTGGATGTGGAGAAGGAGAGGTAGATCAAATGGGACTGTGGCAGAGATGGGTCTCTAGCGGACAACCCAGCTCAGCCTCCCCTCTGGTTCCCAGAGGGCCTCAGACCCCATCCACAGTTCTCTTCGACTCCTGTCTTCCTGGAGTAGAAGCCACTAGACCTCAGTCCTCCCACGGGAATCAAAAAATGAGTGAGATCAAGGGTTCTGCTCCGCCCACCCCAGCTATACCACCCATACTCTGCCCCCACCCTATTCTGTAGAGACAGGAGGCCCTCCTTCTGAATCCACAGACCACTCACTTTTTTAGTTGGTTTTCTGGTCTGTCATCCTGGTCAGAATATGGGAAGATGCCTCCAGATGTAAAGGAGTCTATGAGGGCATCACATGTGATGTATGGTGGACAGGTCCTGAGAATTACGTCTAGTGTGACTGTCTGACTCAGACTAGAATTGAGGCCCAGCGATTGTGTCCGCTTCATTCACTGAGTTACGCTAAGTGTGTCAAAAAGTACTGCATGTCAGTGCTTAAGATACATTGTTGAATGAACTCCAGCCAGAACCATCCCAGATATCTCAGTGGGCCTCAGGCCCCTCTGCTGCCCCAGAGATCCCTAATTGGCTGTGACAAGGACAAGGACCAGGACCAGCTGGATAGAATCTCAAACTTGACAGGATGATTTCCACGTGCTTTTCAAAACTCAGAAAGGCCACATCCCTGTGATGGGTGAGGCAGACTATTTTTTATAGGGGAGAGAGAAATAATCACCATCAACAACCATAGCACGTCCAGTAGCCCTCTCTGCAGAGCCAGGCACCAGGTAAGCACCTGCCATGGCTGATCCCATTAGTCCCTAGGAGAACCCTATAAAGTTGGTCCTCTCCCACCCCACTTTTGAGAGGAGCAAAACGAGGCTCAGAGAGATGTGGTGACATTCCCAAGACACACAGATGGCAGTGGGCAGAGTCACCACTGTGCTGAGGAGAGGGCAGGCACTCATGTAGTGAACAGCTGGTCCAGGACCTGATGGGCAGTGTTGAAGGCCAAGTAGCTGAACAAGAAGGTGGTGATGTTGGAGATGTTGCTACCTGGGAAAGCTGGTACCATGGACTCTGACAGATTCTCCATCATGCCTGCCTGGAGGGCCAGCATCCTGCAGGCCTCATTTAGGTTCAAGGTTGACTCATCTTGATACTGGGCATTATGAGGAGGGACATACAGTCAATAGCACCACCATGAACCACCAGGAGGATGGAGGTCTGGAGCTCACCCAGGAACTCCCAGCCCCTTGGGGATGTGTGCATGAGGAGGGACAGGAGTTCCCACACTGAACAAGGTTCTAGGCTTTCAAAGCACAATCTGAGTTTGGGTGGGGGAAGGATTCTACAATTAGTTCCTTCAAGGCACTTGGTTAACTGAGGAACAGCACCTCCCTGTATTAATAGCCTTTATTAAGAGCACCATCCCAGTGAATCTTCAAACAAACGTTCCCATTATAGAGATTAGAAAACAGAAGCTCAGGGATGCCAAGTGGCTGCTCAAGGTCATGCAGGTCAGAACTGAGAACCGCCCTAAGCCAGGGCTGCATGGCATTCCCTCTAAACTGCCTGAGGCTTCAACTGCCCCGGATATGGAGGGAGACGTTCTGGGGGAACCTCACACCTTCCCAGTCTGGAGACAGTGTACAGGGCAGAAGCACTCTATGAGAATCCCGTTGACTTCAAAAAAAAAGACACAGACTTTTCTTCCTTTTAGATTAAAGGGCATTTTGAGACCCTCATCATGGAGATCCCAGATTCAGCAAAGGGGAAAATGCGTCAAGATTCCAGGCAGGGAGAAAGCCGATCAAGGGCAAGATCTGAGCAGATGACTGAGGGAGGAGAAAATTCATGTGGCTGGTAAACTGCTAACAGGTGACTCCCAGTTATCAGTGGGGCAATTGCAAATCAAGGAACACTGTGACTGCATGGAACAACTTGACACCAGATTGGTAAAAATTGAAAAGAATGAGAAATCCCTGGAGCAGGCTGGAGGCAAGGAAGCTGCCACATCAGAGACTGCTGCTGGCAAAGGCACCACTACAGCCTTTTTGGTTTGGAATGGCTATAGTTATTAAAATTTTACATATGCGTATCTTTCCACCAGCAGTCCCATTCCTTGGTGTATGTGTCCAGCAGGGCATTAGTATGTATTATAGACCGAGTTGAGTCCCCCAAATTCACCCATCGATGTCTTAACCTCCAGAACTTCAGAATGTGCCTGTATCTGGAATTATGGTCTTCAAAGACGTAATTAAGGTATAGTGAGTTCATTGGGGTGGGTCCTAGCCCAATATGACTAGCATCCTTACAAAGGGTAAGGACACATAGAAACTCAGAGGGAGGACCATGTGGACTCAGATGTAGAAGACAGCCATTTACAAGTTAGGAGAAACCAACCCTTCAAACACCCTGATCTCAAACTTCCAGCCTCCAGAATTATGAGAAATAAATGCTTGTTGTTTACGCCACCTAATCTCTGGTACTATACTATGGCAGCCAGAGCAAACTAATACAGTCTATGAGGACACACTTAAGATATTCCCTGCAGCACTGTTCAAATGGCAACTGAATTGAATCAGGTCAAGGTCCAACAGCATTGAAAGGCTGCATTGCTGTAGCAAATGGCCTCCCTTACGGAATATTATGAAGACAAATGAGGCCACAGCTCCAGACCTGGTGGGTCTCGGTGACGTGTTCTGTGAGATGACAAGTTGCAGAGGAACGTATAGAATAGCTTAATCCTATCCTCCCCCTGCCACTGTGTATAAACCATCTTATTAAGCATGAAAATGTGTAAGACTTGGAGAAAGTCTGGAAGGACACTGGAGCTGACTGCTACACAGGATACCTAGGGGAGGTAGTTAAAACGATCAAAACAGTAGCAAAATGGAAAAATACTCATCGCCTAGTGTGAAGTGAAAACAGCAAAAATTTTTTTCTCTAATATTTTTACAAATAAATGAAAAATGTCTTTCTATCTCACCACATGGCTGGTGGGCGAGGAGTGGAGGTCCAGATGCCTTTGAGAGCGGCACTGTGGGCCACTCAAGTGGGACAGCCCTGGGAGGGCCCTGGAGGAGTCTCAGATTTGAGTCTGGGTCCTAGGCCCACCCTGGTCATCTTGGAGTTCTAGGTGTGGAGATTCCTCTCACCCCAGACAACCTTGGCCGTTGTTGGTGGCCTGGTGCGCCTGCCCCGTCCAGGGAGATGGGCAGTGAGCCCATCCACCAGGTCCCTGATGACCTCCTGGGCGGAGCTCTGCAAAGACAGTGCCAGCAGCTGGGCGAGGAGGTGTCAGGAGCCTGCCAAGACAATACTACAGGGGAGAACCCCTACCACAAATTCTACTGCCCAGAGCAGACACAGAAGGGCCTCTGTGTAGATCTCTAGCCAGGGAGGGAATGAGATGACACCTCAAGATTTCAGGATTAACATGTGAGTAGAGGAGCATGGTCTCCAGCATTCACCTTCCCATCCTGCCAACCATGACCTGGGGTATGAATACAACATACCACCAGGCTTTTAACACCTAACAACCTATTCCCGCCCAGGAATGGTCCCCCCCTCATCCCCTGCCTTCCTTCTTCACCTCCCAACATATACATAGGATGAGGGGCAAAGGGTGTGGGGCTGCCCAGGTGGGATCACAGTTGTAGCCTGACCTGGAGTGACCTGCCCTGGGCTGCCTTGTGTTACCCTAGGGTTCCTCCTGCCAATAGCCAGAGGGGTGGGAGGTGAGGGCTGAGCCAATGTCTACAGTGACTTGAAGAGGCTTTCACTCTTGGCTTTCCAGAAGCCAGAGCCTTGGAAAGTCAGTATACAACATGAGAACATCCTGCTCTGTTGAGTGTTTTCTGTCAAGTGAGTTGGATAGGAGGATGTGTCTAGGATGTGGGTGCCTGGTGACCAGAGTGCTAAGTTCTCTTGGGGTCTGTCACCAAGGAAATGAGGTCACTTCTCCAAAGTTCCACTACCCAGGCCCCTACCTTCAATCAGACCCACCCAAAGCCCTCTCTGGGCTGTTGACTGCTCACCCTCCTTGCCCATGTCATCTCCATAACTGTACACAAATATCCATCACAGCCCTCCCCAAAGCTCCCCTGGGAATGGAACCAGGGTCCCAGCTTCGAGGAGACAGACCTGAGTTAAGACCTATTTTTTCCTACCAGTTCTCTGTCCTGGAAAAGCCATTGTGCCTCTCACGGCCTCCCCAGTCTCCCAACCTGCACAACGGGGTTGATGCTAGAAACAGCTTCCTTGAGAAATTATCAGGTATATATGAGAAAATACCTACAACATCTGTGGGCTTGTGTCACATGTATCTCATGCAGAAACTCAGAGATGGAAGAATTACAAGGGGTGGGACATATCATGGAATACCACTCAAAACAGGCCTGGGTTCCAGTTGTGAGATCTTGGGAAACTCGCTACCCTTCTGCCCTCATTTTCAGGTCTGCAACTTTGAAGGGCTGAAATTAGTGGAAATTCAGATATTGTCATCCACTGGTATTAAACCTTCCATGGTCTTCTGTTTTACTTAGAATCAGACCCAAACGTCTCATGTCGGCCATGCAGCGGGCAGCCTCCACAATGGCTCCCAATGCTCCCTGCCTCTTGGAGTGCACATCCTTGTGTAACCACTAAGCGGCTAGTAACTGACTTCTGAACAACAGAATACAGCCAAGGTGATGGGACGTCAAGTCTAAGTTTTAATTATACAAAGTCTGTCACTTCCCTCTTACTCACTTTCTTGAGTTCCCTCCCTTTCTCTCCCTCTGTTTCCATCTCCCTCTCTCAGTCATATTTCTGGAACTGCAGAATCAAGCATTGATGTTTTCAGTTGCCCTATGTCAAGGCCCCATATGAGAGAACTGAGGGAGTGCCCAGCCAACAGACAGAGAGGAAGTCAGACTCTCAGTCCAAATGAATCCTGACAACACCTATGTGAGTGAACTTGGGAGCAAATCCTCCCCCAGTCGAGCCTCAGTTGAGGCCACAGCCTCAGCCTGTGAGACACTTTGAGGCAAAGGCACCCAGCTAAGTTGTGCCCAATGCCTGGCCCACATAAACTGTGAGATGTTAAATATTTATACTTTATAAGTACAAAGTTTTAGAGCAATGTTGTCAGAGATAAACAGAAAACACAGTCTACTAGGCCACAGAATCTGGCCCTATTACCCTCTCCTCTTCTCTCTTCTCAGGCTTCCTCCAGCCCCACCACCACCTTTCTAACCATCTCTGGTCAAACTCACTTCTTCCTGTGAGTCTCTGCACCAGTGGTGCCTTCTCCCTGACACACTAACTGTTCCCAGACACAGGCAGGGTGGCTTACACTTGTCATTCTGGTTACAGCAAATGTCACCTCAGTGAGGATTTTCAGAACCTCCTGGGCTGTAACCTACCATTACAGATCTCATATCTGGAAGAGCATTAAATTATTTCCTCCTTCTTGGTCCTATTTAGATAAAGTGAGCCCATGAGGAAGGGCTGTCTGCTTTGGCTGAAGCAGATGCAACTCCTGGTTACACCAGGCACACCACTGTTTCTTCTGGGCTGAATTTTTCTCACCACAAGTCCATTGCGAAAGAAAACCACTATTCCCTCTCTTTCATGGGTCTGGTTTCCTTAAGAACATAGTGAGCCATCCTTTCTCCCTGTAATGCAGCACGAGCCCCTAAACCCATAGCCAGAAAATGAGCACCCAGGTTGAAACACCACCAGATCCTAAATTCAGTTGCTGCTGAGACCTTCCCAACAATTTTGTAATCCAATGGTAACTCCTGAGGTCACCTGTCCCCTGAGATGCAACTCCAAGCCTGCCTTTGGCTTATTAGAGAAACAACAAGATTTCCTCAGAGCCCGCACAGCCTCACAAGAAATGTTTTTGAATGTTCTCTGTATTAATTTTCAGGGAAAGAGGATATTAGTAGAAGTAATTTGGGTGTGTATGTGCAATAGTTTCTAAGAATAGTATTCAGCCATAAAAAGAATGAACTTCAGATATATGATACAACATGGATGAACCCCGAAAACATTATGCTTATGAAACAAACCCAACACAAAAGGACAAATATTGTATGATTCCCCTTACATGAGGCACCTAGAATAGGCAAATTCATAGAGACAAAAAAGTAGAATAGAAGTTACCAGAGGCTGGGGGTAAGGGTTATGGGGATCTAGTGTTTAAGGGGACAGATGTTTGGGATGATGAAAAAGTTCTGGAAACTGATAGTGGTGATGGCTGCACAACATTGTGAATGTATTTAATGCCACTGAATTAATTAATTAATGCCACACTTAAAAATGGTTAAAATGGTCAATTCTATGTTATGCATACTTTACCACAATACAAAAATATTTTAAAAACGCAGCAGCAGGGTCAAGAAGCAGGTTGTGGGGCCCTGAGTCTGCATATGGGCCAGGGAGGTGGCCAGGGATTGAGGCCTTGGACCCTGGTGAGAGTCCGGACTGGCCCTGACAGACTCTAGTTTTGAGGTTAAAAGTAACAGGATCTGTGCAATTTCATGAATTGGGAGATAAGAAAGGAAAAAAATCAATTCAATCCCATCCAAAATCGATGAAACATTTTTCTCAATATGAGCCAAACATCAGTTCTTAAAGGCCTCCTCTCAACTTCTTCACCCCTTCCCACCCCATCCCCTAACTCCCAGAAAGACACCACAGTGCAGAGCTGTGGTTACCATGGTTATGGCCACGCTAGTGAGTCAGGTTTGGTATCAGATCCCCTCTCTGCCCCTGCCCTGCCATGTGACCATAATAATGGATAATATAAAATAAAATGTTACTGGGACCGGCCTGGTGGCGCAAGCTGTTAAGTGCGCGCGCTCCACTGTGGTGGCCCGGGGTTCGCCAGTTCGGATACCGGGCGCACACCGACGCACTGCTTGTCAAGCCATTCTGTGGTGGCGTCCCATATAAAGTAGAGGAAGATGGGCACGGATGTTAGCTCATGGCCAATCTTCCTCAGCAAAAAGAGGAAGATTGGCATCAGATATTAGCTCAGGGCTGATCTTCCTCACAAAACAAAAAATAAAATAAATAAAATGTTACTCAACCTATCTGAACCTCCATTTCTTCAACCACAAAATGGGGAGAATCCTACTTTGTAGGGAAATTATGAAGGTTACATGACTGTCTGTTAAAGGAGTTAGCACATTTCATGGGCATTATGCTAAAAGCCAATCCCCACAGGTCGCATGTTGTATGATTCCATTGATATAATATTCTCAAAACAACAACATTAGAAAGATGGAAAACGGATGAGTGAATGCCAGGGGTTGGCTGGGTGGGTGTGACTATAAAAGAGCAGCAAGTGGGAGGTCTCTGTGGTGATGGAACAGTTTTGTACCTTGATTGTGGCAGTGGTTACAAAAATATATCATATGTGATAAAATGGCATAGAACTGCACAGACACACAGACACACACACAAATGAGTATACATAAAACTAGTGACATCTTAAATCTGAGGTCTGTGGATTTTAGCAATGCCAATTAATGTCCTGGTTATGATATTGCACTATAGTTAGGCAAGATGTTAACCACTGGGGAGAAACTGGGGGAAGCATACAGGAAATTCTGTACTATTGTTTTGAAACTTCCTGTGAATTTGTATTTATTTCAAATGAAAAGTTAAAAATTAGAAAAATGATAGTACATGGCCTAGCACATTAGGTAACTGCTGAATAACACGGTTGTCTTTTATAACTATTATCAACTGTAACTGCACATTCAATTTCAGTCTCTCTCAGTACACTGTAAACTCGGTGAGGGGAGGGACCACACATGACTTAACATCTTATCCCCTCTGCCCAGCACAGCACACGTGCCCAATCACTATCAGTTGAACTAAATTCCCTGTGGTTCCTGTGCTAGGTGTTCTTACATTTTCATTTAACCTTCACAACGACTTCATGAAGTATTATTATTCCCACTTCGCAGGTGAGGAAACTGAGGCACTGAGAGGGTAAGTAAATTGTCTAAGGTCAACAGAAGTGAATAGATGAGGAGGTCCCATCCTCTGCTCTGGAGGTCAGAGCAGAGCAGAGGGTGCCCGTGGTTCCAGGTTCCCTCACAGCAGCTTTTCTCTGCAACTCTTAGGTCCTAGCTTTGAGGCTGAATACCTTGACTTCCTAGAAGGAGCTGGAGAGAGAAGTCACCTACCTGTGGAGCTGGAGAAGAGGGCTCGCACCACCGAAGTCCATGGGAAGAGCATGGAGGTCACAGTAGCTAAAGAAAAAAGGTCCAAAGTGAGGAATGGGGACTCCAAGTGGTGCATGGAGGCCACTGTGTGCATCTTTCTTGTCCAGTCCGACCCACTGAATGTAGAGGGGGTGAGTGAGACAGTCAGGTCCTCTGGTTTCTTCTCCCACTGAGGCCCAGGGATGGAGGGATCAGTTGCTGCCCACAACGGCCCTGGAGCACATGGTCATCAGGGCCCTGAGCACTCACCACTGGGACTGGAGGCTGAAGTCCAATGGGTGTAACCTACAATGAGAAAAGGAGACAGAACTGGGATACAAACAGGGAAGGGATGTCTAAGATATAGCCCGAGGCCCACCAGGCCCACACCAACTGAGACTTCAAGTCTACACAGCTCAACAGTTGATTTAGGAGCAACTATATCATGTTCCCAAAAGGCTGAGAAATCAAAGACCTAGTCTCTGTCTTCATGGGCTTGCGATTAATTTAGGAAGATAAATAAACCAACACTTCTAGAACATGGGTTTGCAAACTGTGCTTTTCAGGGTCTAGAGGGTATTTTGAGATGTTGGCAGGGAGAAAGATGAATGGCCAGACTCTTGAATCCCCGTTAGCTTCAAACAGAGGGACATTCTCTTTCATCTGTCTGGGGAAAGGCTTTTGTCCCTTAGACAAGTATAGAAATCACTGCCCTGGATGCAGAGATGCAAAGGGAAGAGAAGCATTTGCAAACTGGAGGGCCTATGGGGGTCTTGAGTCATCAAGGGCTCAGGTGAAAGATGATACATAGGAAGGGTCCCATGGCAAACTGGAGAGTCCACATCCCTTCTGCGGGCAGATTCTCAGCTTCAACTTGTGTTTACTAAAAGGATGCTCACCATTGATGCAGAGGCTGTCCCTGTCCAGGATGAAGGAGTCCATCTGGGTGACACCAAGGGTTTCATGGCTCAGCTCCCAGAACAGCCTCTCTCTCTCGCTATCCAGCTTAGGGCCCATGGGGTCAGGAAGGTGAAGGCAGACAGCATCAACTCCAGTGGCTGTTCCACCTTTCTCAGGCCTGGGCAGGGAGGGACACAGGGATGGGGAGGTGGGGACTCCAGGCAGGGGTCCCTGGAAAGCCTCACTAAGGGAGGGGACAGAGAAAGTAAGAGGACTGGTGGGCAGCCTGGAATGGCCTTGGTGCTGGGGGAGCACTGGAAATGAATACGACAGCCAAAGTCCCTGAACACAGAAGATGTAGCATCTCCAAACGTTGATATTTGTGCTAAACTTTAAAATGACAATCATATTAAGGCAACACACACCCTAACAACAGAAGCATGACAGAGGGGGTGGGAAGAAGGAATCTGGGAATTTGACAAAGTCAAAGAAGGCAACATTAAATTGCTTAAATCCCAGCTCTGCCACTCAATTTCTGAGTGACTCTGGGTAAGTCTCTCAAACTCTCTGTGCCTCATATTCTTTATCTATCAAATGAGGTAACAGTACAGACTTCACCGCACTTAGTGCTCAATAAAAGGGAGCCATTTTTATTATGTATTAAGAGGGCCAACGTTCCTGGTGTGAATGGACCTTGCAGTGAGCGAGACTGAACTTTTTGAAGGCAACACCAAGGACAAGCAGCCAGCCTAGGGTGGAGGTGAGGATGGGGCTGTGTGGTATCCTAGAGCCAGAAAAATCTCAGGGCCAGTGGAAAGGGGAAGACATGGCATCATGGCTGGTGGACAACAGTGAGTGTCTTTGGAGCTGAGGACATTCCATCCGCAGACAAAAGTTCCATGACCGAGAGATTCACACAAGGGGTAAGATGACCCAAGTGCACATGTAGGGGTCCCCACATGCTGGAGTCATTCTCAGTACCTGGGTCTAAGAAGGGTCATGAATAATTTACCACATGTTCTCTATATGTTAGGTCCTTTGCTAAGCACGTTTCATTTTAATCTTCACTGTGCTCATACAAATGTCCACAAATTCTTCCCTTCAGTCAGAAGTGGAGTCCATTTCCCCATCTCTTGAATCTGGGCTTGGCCATGTGACTGGCATTGGCCATTAGACATTAGCAAACATGATGTAAGCAGAGGTTTGGAAAGCAGATGTGCATTAGGGCTTGCCATTTCTTGCTGCTCTTTGAACTCTGAGCATGTGAATGAGCCCAAGCTAGCATGATGGAGGATGAGAGAATGTGAAGGAGACCCGAGGTCCCCCAGCCAGCAGCTATACTACTGTAGTAGTACAGATGAAGGAACCTCATCTGAGATCAGCTGAGCAGCCCAGGCAGGAGAATCTCTCAGCAGAATCCAGCCCAAATCGCTATCCAGCAGAATCGTGGGCTAAATCTGTTATGCAGAAAAGCAGATTAAACTCTTCTGATTGACAAGTGAGGAGGCTGAAGCACAGAGATATTAAGTAACTTGTCAGGGTCACACAACCTTGAAGTAGGGGAGCTAGGATTTGAACATAGGCCTGTCAGACCCCAAATAAAACCACATAACCACTGTGCTGTAGCCCTCAGTAATCCCTCTGGGGGTGGGCACGCATCCCAAGTCCACCTCTGAGAGGTCAGAAAGCAGGATTTGGTCATTGCTGGTGGATAGTAGGAGAAGGGAGGGCTTGCTAGGTGTTACAGATAGGCCAATCACTAGCCAAAATGTGACAAAAGCAGGAGAGAGAAGTATGCACCCTCTAGAGAAAGGTCTCTCAATCTTGGCACCATGGACACTTCAGATCAGATAATTCTTGGCTCTGGAAGACTGTCCTGGTCATTGTAGGATATTTATCAGCATCCCTGGCCTCGCTCACTAGATGCCAGTAGTAACCCTCATCCTTGAGCTGTGACAACAGAAAATGTCTCCAGACATTGCCAAATATCCCTTGTGGAGCAAAATCACTCCTAGTTAAAAACTACTGTTCTATCGTGATGAAACTGACATGATTACTAATTGTTTCCTCAAGTTCAAGAAGAAAGATCTTTCTGAAAAGTTCAACCTAACCTCCTGGGAAGGAAAGACTAAGAGGATTCTGCATTCTCCAGTCAGTAACACAATGTGGGACAGAGCGGGAGCCGGTGGTCAGCTGTCCCTGGGATAGTGGGCACAGGATGTCAGGGCCCAGCTCGTGGTCACCCACACACACTGCCTGCATGTCTGCTCCTGGAGCTGTCACCTGAGCAAGGTCAATCTGCAGCCGGAATAGAGGGGCCCAATACTGCTGCTCTAGAACAACGGCATGAGCTGGGGATGAAAGAGATGGAGGTGAGCAGATGGGCAAAGGGGCTGGGCAGGACAATAGCAGGCATTGGAGGGGCCTCACCAGGTGATTCAAGATCTTCTCTATGGTGTTGAATAGCTCAGATCCCAGGGGTCCCATGTCCTCTGTGTAGCATAGGCTGGTGATGGTGAGGTTGAGAGTGAAGGGCACCAGAAAAGGGCTCACATCTACAGCAAGAAAGAAAGAGAGGGGTTCATTATGATCTCTGGCTGGGATGGCTGTGAGCGCTGGGTCCAGAGTTGTCACCTTAGCCTCAGTGTCCAGTGAATCAGTCCCAAGATGCCCCATCTGTGTCCCCTTTGTGTCTAGCCAGAGTTAGAGAGAGGGAGGTGCCTCCACACTGGATGGATGATTTTAGCTGGAAAAACATCACCTCTTTTCAGTCGAATGTGTCTAAAGACAAACAATTTGTACACATTTTGGTAAAAGGAAGAGAAGCAAAGTCACTCTGTGGTCCCCTGGGGCAGCGTTCTCCCAAAGTCTTCTGACTTTACCATAGGAGAATGTGCTACCGCTGAGTGGTCAAGACTGTTCCCCTGCGAGAGTAACACCTGCCTCAGCTTCATTAACATCTTTGAAGAGTGGATTTTAGTGACTACATCTCCTGGTTCTTCCTGGACAGTCAAGTTGCTCCCATACAAATATTAATTTCAACCCCCTTTTCTGTCTCAAAAGTGCCCCAGAATAAAAAACCAACCTAAATGGTCATCCTGGGCTTAGGGTATGAGAATCAATAGGCCAGAGGTCTGAGCAGGGTGACTGCACCTCCACACATCTCCTCAGTGGGCAGCAACTGCGTGCCAGCCTGTGTGCTGGGACTTCATGAACGCTCCTCCACACATCTCTGTGGGCACCGAATGCGTGCCAGCCTGTGTGCTGGGACTTCATGAATGCTCCTCCACACATCTCCTCTGTGAGCACTGACTGTGTGCCAGCCTGTGTGCTGGGACTTCATG